GGGAAGGAGCCTGGTGGCAGAAGTCCTCTGACCCAGAATCGTAAAACTACCACAGGTCGTCCAGAACGCCAGGGATCCATTTGTGGAAAGCTGAAACTGACTTCACGGACTTGCTCAGAAGTTAGAGCTGCCGTACACTGTGGATGTGTTCACCCCGAAACTGGTGTCGCCATCATGGTGGAGGTGGGCACGAGAGGAGAGGGGGGGGAGGAGGAGCAGAAAAGGGCAACCTGAGACGTCACGGAGGAAGAGAGAAGTACAACTGAGAAAGGGCAGAGGGCGCCAGAAAGCGAGTAAGAGATCGGGAAGCAGGCGTTAGAGGAGCAAAGAGAGAAGGTGGTCACTAGACGAAGAGGAGCCTGGACCCAAAAGAAACAGAGGGAGAAATAAAGATGGCTGACGATCAAGGGAAAATCAGGGGTGTCGTAAAATCAGCCAGGCCTGGGGACAGAGGGGACAATCACTCCTTTGCAGCCGGAAGCTCTTAATACTAACAGAAGCCCCCCTTTTAAGAAAGGAACAGTCCCTGCTATGCAAATAGACCTTTCCGAGTGGCAGGAGACCGGCTATGAAGCAAAACGTATTTGATCGGTGGGGCGTAACTGCATGGTGATGAATCTAGTGTGCAGCTGGGTTAACTTTGGCCCCCAAGGTCTTTGTGTGATGCCAGAGAGCCTGTTGTAGGATATCAGGTATCAGGTGAGGGATTTATTACCACAGGGACCTTAACTCCATGATGTTCCCTTATGACCTGGAAACACTCCTGGGCATCTTAGCTGAGGCTGCAGAGGTAGGAAGCGCCCAGGACTGCTGAAAACTGGTCCGTGCTCCCCACAGTCTGCATTCTCCATCGCTGTGTTACATGATTATGCAGAGTACCTGTGTTTGCATGCTGGAGCACACCTTGGAAGTTTCTTTATTCCATACACCCCTATTTAGGGAAGGATGGTGCCCACCCTTTCCAGACAGATGGGAATTTTTGCCTTCATTTGGAAAGCCAGGTGGATCGAAAATGTTCTAGAATTTCTATGGAGCTGTGACTTTGTTGCTCCTTCGAAGGGTCAGCTATAAATCAGAATACTTTGTAATCTTACTTGTCTTCTATTCCGAAAACTCCTGGTCTTTGAAAGATTCTTCCAGTGCAAGTCAAGGTTGCTGATGATGGGTAATTTCTGCCTTGTGTCCCAAAGGTATGAAGTACGGATTCAAGCCTGCACCCTGCTGGGTTGTGCGTCAGGTGACTGGGCATCTGTGCAGACCCCGGAAGTGGCACCCCTGATGCAGCCTCCCCCGCACGTAGAGGTCCGCACGGCTCCAGGAGGCTTCCAGCCCACCGTGTCCCTTTTGTGGGCAGGGCCGCTTCAGCCAAATGGGAAAGTTTTCTACTATGAATTGTACAGAAGACAACCGGCAGCTCATCCTGCAAGATCACAACCAGTGCTCGCCTATAATGGCAGCTCGAGCTCGTTTATGGATTCCGAGCTCTCGCCTTTCACAGAGTACGAGTACCAGGTAAGCGACGCGCGGTACCAGCAGTGCACACTGAGATTGCACACACCCATCAGCACCTGCCTGTAAAAACCACTGGTGATGGGACAACCACTCAAAGAAAAATGAGGCTTAAAGAAGTTCATAGCATTCTTGAATAATTCTTTAAAACAGTCAGTGAGGGAGGAGAGATGGCATATTCGTTGCCATCTTCATTGTCTTGGGTCTTGATCCGTGTGACACATGCTTGTTATTTCCATGTAGGTTTTAGGTGAAGCGTTTGCATGTCTGATGGATGAACTGGTTTCTCGCTAAGCTTCCCACTGTTGGTGTTGCCGTGGGAGGAACTACTCCTTGTTAAAAGATCACTTGGAAAATAACTCGTTAGTTGTCCCAGAACAAAATACTGTATTTCCCCATGTATAAGATGTACCCTTTTAAAAAAAATTTGGGGTCTAAAAACTGGGTGCGTCTTATACAGTGGTTGTAGATTTCAAACGCCATAGATGAAACTGAGGACGGGGCAATATATGAAGACAGTGATTCGTCATCAGACACAGACGAGGACAAGCTAATGGTTGGGAGTTTTGACAGTGATGAGGAGTTGAATGAATTTTATGATGAATAAAACTTGAGTTCAAGAACTTTATGTAACACATTTTTTTTCAAATTTCGGGCCCCAAAATTAAGATGCGTCTTATACATGGGGAAATATGGTAACACCTAATGGCAGGTGTCTCCAGCCCCTGTGCTCAAGAGAGAGACAGGATGTTGAGAAAAGTCGAGAAAGACAGCTGACATACACCTGCGGATGAAGTAGGGTTAGTACACGGGCAGCTTAAAAGATACCGGACTTTACAGAGCCCTGAAAAGCCAAGAATTAAGAAAACNCCCCGATTTAATATCCGGATGCTTCTTCTGGGTTAGGGTTATCAGGATGAGCAGCAGGAGTGGGGAAGGTTAAAAGGGACAAGATAGCTACACCAAGGAATCAAACGCTACGTGTTATTCGCCCTCTGCTTTTCTTCCCCCTCCAGACATACAACATCTTCAGTGATGGTACCCTAGAGTACACTGGCCTGAGTCGCCAGTTTCTCTTCCGACGCCTGGACCCTTTCACCGTCTACACGCTGACCCTGGAGGCCTGCACCGGGGCCGGCTGTGCCCGCTCCGCACCCCAGCCTGTGCAGACAGATGAAGCCCCACCCCGCTCTCAGGCGGCTCCTGAAGTCCGGTCTGTGGGGTCCACCAGCATTGAGCTGAGCTGGTCTGGGCCTGTTAACCCAAATGGAAAGATAATTCGCTACGAAGTGATTCGCAGATGCTTCGAGGGAGAAGCTTGGGGCAATCAGACCGTCCAGGCCAATGAGAAAACTGTGTTCACGGAACATAATACTGAAGGGAATGCATTTATGTGCAATGACACTGGTTTGCAGCCATGGACTCAGTGTGGATATAAAATCCACGCGTGGAATTCAGCAGGCCACACCTGTAGCTCGTGGACTGTGATCAGGACGATGCCAGCGCCTCCGGAAGGCCTCTCTCCCCCTGAGATAACATACGTATCTGTGAACCCCCCAAAACTGATGATTTCCTGGGTCCCACCCCAACAGTGTAATGGTCTTATCCAGTCCTACAGGCTTCAAAGGAACGGGAGGCTCTATCCTTTCAGCTTCGATGCTGTGACTTTCAATTACACCGACGGAGAGCTGCTTCCTTTTTCCACGTACAGCTACACGGTCACCGCCTGCACGAGTGGAGGCTGCTCTTCCAGCAGCCCAACCAGCATCACAACTCATGAGGCTGCTCCGGCAGGGGTCAGCCCTCCAGACCTTCAGGCTGTCAGTGCCACTCAGATACACGTCACTTGGTCACCACCATCGATTCACAATGGAAAGCTCACTAAGTATTTACTCAGGTGTGATGGTCAGGAGTACCTTGCTGGGCAGAGCCTGTCCCTTTTGGTCCCCCACCTGCAGCCTTATACTCAGTACATTTTCTCCCTGGTCGCCTGCACAGAGGGAGGTTGCACAGCTAGTGTGTCAAAATCTGCCTGGACGATGGAGGCCCCCCCACGGGACATGGACCCTCCAACATTGCAAGTCACAGGCTCGGAATCCATAGAAATCACCTGGAAACCTCCAAGAAAGCCAAATGGCCGGATCAGAAGTTATGAACTTAGGAGGGATGGGACCATTGTGTATACTGGCCTGGAAACTCACTATCATGACTTTACTCTCATCCCGGGTGTGGAGTACGGCTACACAGTGACTGCCAACAACAGCCAAGGGGGTATATTGAGCCCACTCGCCAGAGATCGAACGAGCACCTCGGCACCTTCGGGAATGGAGCCCCCAAAACTGCAGGCCAGGGGTCCTCAGGAGATCGCAGTGAACTGGGACCCTCCAGTGAGGACAAATGGCCATATCATCAACTATACTCTCTTCATCTGTGAGCTGTTTGAGAGAGAAACCAAAATCATCCCCATAAATGCAACCCATGATTCTTTCGGCACACGGGCATTCGTGGTGAACCAGCTGACGCCATTTCACAGGTAGGTAACTTTGGCTGGGTTTGCCGAGAGCAAGCAGCTGTCCCTTCTGTGGTGTGAGCCCTGGGTCAGTTCACATTAAGGCTCTGAAAGCCAGGTGTGTGACGCCCCCTGCCCCCATTCACTTAACCATCCACAGTGTACGCATGATACCCTGATCCTGCCAAAATCTGCTTGCATGACTTCCGAGAACAACATTTGTGCAGGTGACATTTTGAGAGTTGTTTTTGTTGGAAAGATTTGCAATTCACAATGTCTGGAATAAGTACAACAGAACTGGGGTCAGTTCCTAAGTCTAGTCGCTCCTAGAAACTTGGACGTTCCTGAGCAGCCTGAGAGCCCCAATGAAGTCATCTGGTGCACGGTGTCCAAAAAAACGAGGTATTATTTTAAAGTATGAAAAAAGTGCCCGTCACGGAGAGTTATCACCAGCCAGAGTGGCACTGATCCAAATCCGACCTGGGAGAGCTGTCCTTATTGAACCTGGCACCTAA